GGATTTCACGTCTGTCTACCCCAGTCGGCTGCAAACCTCCCCAGGCAGGATGGGTATGGCTGGTTCACAGCTGTATCCTCAGGGCCTGGCACACGGCAGGTGCCAAGGAAACATCAGTTCCCTCTGCCCCTCCAGGTCATCAGTACGCTGCCTAGAATGTCTCATTTATCTGCTAATATTCTTTGTCCTCCATCTCCAAATCTGAGAAATGGGACCACTATGATGCATCCCAACATGTTCAGAGGAAGAGACAGAACTTAATAGTGGGGAGTGGGCTGTCTCCCCTGGGAAAGGCTAGGTTTAACAAAGAGAGGGGCTCTCAAGAGGCCAGAGACCAGCACCATGCCCATGCTGGGATAGAATGTGGAGAAAGGGGCCGGGCACCATGGCTCACACCTGTAATCCCGGCACTTTGGGAGGTTGAGGTGGGTGGATCACTGGAGGGCAGGAGTTGAGACCAGCCTGGACAATATGATGAAACTCCATCTCTACTAAAAACACAAAAATTAGCCGGGTGTGGTGGTGCACACCTGTAATCCCAGCTACTCAGGAGGCTGGGGCAGGAGCATCACCTGAACTCAAGAGGTGGAGGTTGCAATGAGCTGAGATTTCACCACTGCACTCCAGTATGGGCAACAGAGCGAGACTGTCTCAAAAGAGAAAGCAGAGGAAGGAACAAGGGCACATTGCAGGAGGCAAGAAGCCTGGGGGATGGAGGGAGGCAGAATCACGGGGAAACCTAAAACCCTTCCCGAAAGCTGCTCCTAGGGCTCTGGGCAGAGGGTCACTCACCAGTACCCCAACCCTACCCTAGGTGGAGAAGGTCCCCCACCGTGCCCCCATCCTGATGCACCTCCCAGCCTGCACCATCCCAGAGGGCTTGCCTGTCTATGCCCAGGCAGGAAGACAACCAGTCTTCCATGCCAGGCCCTGCCTTGAATGCTTCATGGACCCGCCATCTTCTCACAAGGGATGTGCTATTATTATCCCCATTTTACAGATGAGGAAATAGCAGCTGGACGGGGTTTAGAGAACATGCCCAGGGGTTCTCTGCTTGTAAGTGGCAGAGCTGAGCTTTGAACCCAGCAGGTCTGACTTCAGAGCACGCTCTCAGCCCCTCTGCCACGTTCCCACTGGCCTTGGCCCGCCCCAGGACAACCCACTCTTGGCCCTGGAGGAGTCTTGCTGGCGGAGGGGGCATGTATTGGGGTTGGGGTGATAAAGAGGAGCTGGAGAGACAGCGAGGAGGTCCCTTTGGCCTAGGGCACCAGGCATCTGTTCATGAAAGGCTGGCTGTGCTGCGTCCACAAACACTCCCCCGTCTACACTTACCCCCGGGATGAGCTCATCTGCTCTTGGGTTTAAATCCCATCTCTACACCAACGATTTCCAAATTTTTATTTCCAGCCCGCCTTCCCCCTGAGCTCCTGACTTGAATCACCAAACTGCCAGCTGCCATCTTCCACTTAGAAGTCTAACAGGCATCTCAGGCTCGATATGTTCAGAACCCAATCCTGGTCTTCCCCTGTCCCCGAGTCTGCTCCTCCTTACCCCTCATGACTCTGTTACTCCCCACACCCCCCCCAGGAGCTCAGGTCAAAGTCCCAGAAGTCATCATTGATTCCTCCTTCCTCACCCTCCACATCCATCCACCAGCAGGACTTCCTCCAAAATATATCCTGAAACCCACCCACCATTCTCCTTCTCGTTGCAGCTAAAACCCTGGTCTAGGCCCCTGACTAGCCCCTGCCCACTGCAGCAGCCTCACCTCCTTCACCCCCTCCCCAAGTTAAACCCTTGCTAGAATCCGCTCAAGTCACTCCACTACTGAAAAGCTTCCCACAAGAGTGAAAATAAACCCAAACTCCTGGCTCCTCATGGCCTAAGGGGCTTGTAGATCTAGCCCCTATCTCTCAGATCCTGTCTCCTTCTTGCTAGTCAAACATCAGCCACTGGGGCTTCTTTCTGTTCTTCAACGGCACCAAATTCTTTCCTACCCCAGGGCCTTTGCACTTTCCCTTGGCCTGGAACTCTCCCACCCCTGGCGAGTTACACAGGTTCTCATCTCAGATGCCACCTCCTCCTGGAGACCTCTGACCTCCCTGGGGAGAGCAGCCCTGCCCCCTTCCCTGACCTTGACCACATTTTCCAACTGTCTTCTGAATTTCTCCCTCTGAAACGCACAGCCTTATCTTTTCCACCATAGAATCCCCAGTGCTAAGACATCATGCACCCATCACAAATGTTTGCCAAATGACTGAATGAATTGGCGTCGGTTTTCCCTTCTGTAAAAGGGAAGTGGGTGAAGAAATAGCATAGACCCAGACAGGTTCCAGCAGCGTCCCGGGCAGCTGCAAGGCCACCTCCATTGCAGAGCTGACAGCAGAGTCCTCCTGAGTGCCTGGAAGCCCTGGTGGGCCTAGAGCACCCCTGATCCATTTTCCTCTGATGCATTTTCCATGGGGCATTGGCTCCTGGGAAGCCCCAGGAGACAGAGTGGCTGTTACCATGCTCACCAGTCTGGGGACTGAGCCCTGTTGGAGAGGTCAGGAGCCCTTGAGGGAGCAGGCAGGCTGAGGCGGGGGAGCCCACTGAGCCTCAGTTTCCCCTGCCTTCTCATTAGCTTTCAGGGGCTCTCAAATGCTTTCCTGCCTACTCCTTCACATCAAGCTAAGCCCTCCTCCCCACATCTGGACACCCTGCACATCCTCCTGCAGGGATCACGGCCAAGGGCACTGGGGCACAGAGGGCAGCCAGAGGGCCCAGGCCTCCTGGGGCTCAGTCTATACCTTACTCTGCCACTCAACAAGCAAGTACTTGCTGAAGTCTGCGGTGGCCAGGGCTGGCCCCTGCGCCATCGGCTCCAGGGGGGCAGAGGATGGGCACAGAAGTCCCCAAGCCTAATCAGCTATCAATGCTCCCTCCCGCATGTTTACAAAAGCTCCTTTCCACCCATGAACTTGGTGGAGCCCACAGCCACCCTCTCAGGAAGGCACGGCAGCAGCTGTCAGTGTCTTCGTCCCACAGATGGGAAAGTGGAGGCCCACCCGCCTACATGTCCCCGTGCCTGGTGCAGGGCCCTGCTCTCAGAGGATGTGCAGCCTCGAGATCAGAAACTGGGCTTTGGAGTCTAACAGCTGCTGCCCTTCCTGAATGTGTGACCTTGGGCAAGGCACCTAACCTCCAGGGTCTCAGTTTCCTCGTCCGTAGGATGGGCATCATGGTACCTGCTTCTTGGGAGCTCCTGTGAGCCTGTGAAGGACTCAGCATAGGGGCTGCATGGGATGGGCTGGATAGATGGGGGCTGAAGTCACCAGTTGGTCCCCTTCTTACCCCAGGCCCGGAGCACACAGCCTGGCATGGAGCAGGAGTTCAGCCAACATTCAAAGGATGAGAGGGAGGAATATGGCTTGTTCACTCTAAAGTGCTGGGTATCCCTGACTGCCGGGCCTTGGGGAAGGGGCTCATTGTGTCTCTTGCCTGTGTCTCTGCAGGTTGGGGGGTCATGTGATCAGAGGGGGGGGTACTGCAGGAGCCATCGGAGAGACAGATGCCTTCCCCTCTGCTGACCAGATGGGCACGGCCGCCCCCACAGTGGCCTTCCAAAGTCCCACACATACATGGCTCCAGTCAGGCCCTCTCCCTGTCACCTCTAGGGCTAGCATGGGTTTCCCAGGACATTTGAGGGACAGGAACAACCACCCAGTCCCATTGCCCATGTTAGAGACAGAGACACTGAGGCTCAGAGAGGGCAAGTGACCTGCCTGAGATTTTGCAGCAGAACCTGGCTTAGACAGAACTGCTGTCCCTCTGTGGAGAAGGGCCCCTGCCTCCCTCTCCCATGTGCCAGTCATTTTTTTGGCCCTGAAGGTCATTGGAAAAAAGCAGGAGTTTCTGAAGAAGATGTGGGGTGATGAAAGGGGGAGAGGTCAGTGTGAACCCTCTCATCTCCTCCCCCATCTGCCCAGCCCCCCATCCCACCTCCAGTACCTGGAGAGACCCTATCCTTCCTCTCATCAGTACCAGAAAAACTATTTCTGCCTCCCTTTGGGGGTGCCTGGGAGCCTGGGGATCATGACCCTGACTGCCCCCCTAAACCCAAGACCCTTTGTCTTTGCGGTTGCTCCTCTCTCAGCCACCTAGGCCTCCCAGCGCCTTGTGGGATCAGAGGCGGGAGGGGGATTAGGTTCTGCAAATGGCTCCCCCCTCCCGCCATCACTGTCTTAGTCATCTCTGCCCTCTGCCGCCTCTCCCTTCATCACAATCCCTCTGGCCAGGCCGAGGGGAGGGCGACACTGACAGGCGCCCCCCACCCAGGGGCCACAGAGAAGCAAGGGGCCGGCTGCTCAGAAAAGGATCAGAAGTGGTTTCTCCTCCCCTCTTCCCTTCCTCATCCTGCAGCCCGCGCCTCCCCCCTCCACCGTGCTGCGCACGGATGGCGGCGGGAGCCGCAGAGGTGTGTGTGTGCCGGGGGAGGCTGTGCCGGGTCCTCGATGCCCACAGGACTACGTCCTCTTCCAGGGGCTAAGGTGGGGGGGCTGTCCCCCCCACCACAGCCCAAGAATTCCCATGGGGGTAGAGGACTGTCCCCTTATAGAGCCCGGTGTGGGGGACACTGCCCCCGGGTGCTGCCCGCTCCAAGGGACTCCCCAAGCCCAACGGAGGCGCTGAGTAATGAAGGCTCTCTCCGTGCCCATGTTGGGGGTGGGGGTCAACTGCCCGGGGCTTCTGGCAGAGCGCTGTCTGCCCTAAAGGGTGGGGCGGAGGAGGGGGCGTGATTCCGCAGCCGGAGACGTTTGCAGACTAGCCGGGGGGCGCTGCTGCCCCAGGGGCTCTCGAGGTGGGGGGAGGGCCGCCTCGCTCCGGCTGGGCGTGGGGGGCGCGCCGGCCGCGAGTGCAGCGTCGGGGGCTGCGAGGTCGCCGCACCGTCGGTGCCCGGGGCAGGGATTCCAGGGATCCCGAGGGTCGGGGGTCGGCGCCTTGGGATGCGCCGCGCCTACCTGCCTACGAAATTCTCGAGCACCGAGCTCTTGCCGGCGCTCTGGCCGCCCACCACGGCGATCTGCGGCAGGTCGAGGTCCGCGTTCTGGCCGATGGCAGAGAAGGCGTCCTGCAGCCGGTTGACCAGAGGGATGAGATCTTCCATGCCGCGGTTGCCCATGGCTGCGGCGGGCCCCGCAGGCTGCGATCCGGCTGCCGCTCGCGCTCCGGGCTCGGGCTCCGCCGCTGCAGCCGCGCGCCCCGACTGCCTGCGCCGCGGGGCCCCCGCCCCTCGGGGATCAGAGCGAGCGCCGCTCCCGGACGCCGCTAGGGGGAGCCCGCGGCGGTGCTGGCCGGAAGCTGTGCGCAGGCGCTGCCCGGGGCACCATGGGTGTTGTAGTTTTTACCTTCTGCGGCTTTCGAGGTGCTTTAGCAGTAACTGGGGTGTGCGGATGCTGCGCAGAATATATTTGTCACGGGTGGGGTCTCAATCCTAGTACCAGACCCCTTGGATAGTGGTCATGGCTGTTTCACTCCATCTTACCGATGGGGAAACTGAGGCCTGGAGAGCAGATGTGCTACCTCTGAGGTCACAGCCTCCTGACCCGGAGTTTCCCCTTCACCTCGCTGCCTTCTACCTCTAGGTCCTGACTCTAATCTCCAGCATGTCCCTTTCTTCCTTTGGTCCTCAGTTTCCTTGTTTGTAGAAGGGGAAAGATGCAACATGAATTCAACAAATATCTACTAGGTACCTGCTAGAAGCCAGGCCCTGTCCTAGGCACTGAAGATACAGCAACGAATAAGACAGCCAAGGCCTCTTCCCTCATAGATCTTGCAACAAGCTGGTGAGACAGACAGTAAATGAATAAACAAATACATGAAATAGTAAAAATGAAAATAGTTCATAGTAGGAGGGATGGAGGAAATAAACAGAGTGTGAAAAAAGGTATTTGTGTGGGTGTGGAAAGTTCACATGGGCTTTGGAGGAGTCTGGGGGGTTCTCTGCAGAAGTGACTTTGAGAAGAGACTGAAATGATGAGAAGGAGCCAGCAGCAAACAGATCGGGGGAAGAGCATGCCAGGCAGAGTGACCAGCAAGTGCAGAGGTCCTGACACCGGGGAGGCCCTTCTTGGGAGAGTTGGAAGCTCTTATCCTAGAGAGTGGAAGTTTTTGCTCCAACCCATCAGGATGGTGGTAAAACTGCATAAAACAGTGGGATTCGAATCCAGGGCACCTACAATCCTACCCTGTTTACCCCTGCACACAGAGAGACCATGGGGCCCTGAGCCCAGCCGTCCACCTCTGCATTTAAGAAACTTAATTAGTATTCATGGTGGAGGCTAGGAAGGGGAGGCCAGCCTACTCTGTGTTCATGGGGAGTCAGCAAGTCATTTTCCTGTGCTGTGAACAGCGTGGGGGCACTGCTGACAAAGTGGCCTGTGAATTGGAGACTGTTCATTTATTCATCCATTTATTTTTATTTTTATTTATTTATTTTTTTAGTTGGAGTCTCATTCTGTCACCCAGGCTGGAGTGCAATGGCATGATCTGCTCACTGAAACCTCTGCCTCCAAGGTTCAAGCAATTCTCCTGCCTCAGCCTCCCAAGTAGCTAGGATTACAGCCTGACACCACACCCAGCTGATTTTTATATTTTTAATAGAGAAGGGGTTTCACCATATTGGTCAGGCTGGTCTCTTGGCCAGGCTGGTCTCGAACTCCCAACCTTGTGATTTGTCCGCCTCGGCCTCCCAAAGTGCTGGGATTACAGGCATGAGCTACTGTGCCTGGCTTCTACTCATCCATTTAAATGCATATTTGTTGAGCCAGGTACTATGCTAGACCCCAGAGATAAAACAGTGAGTAAAATGGACAAAGTCCTTACCCACATGTGGCTGACAATTCAGTGGAAAAAGACAGACAATATGCAAATAAGCCAATAATGATGACCCTGTTGGATGGTGTGCCTTACAGAGCAAGGAAGCAGGGGTGGTGTACAGTGGTGTTGCTATTGTGAAGATGGTGATCAGAGAGTGAGCCATGTGGACGCTGTGGGGAGGAACCTTCCGGGCAGGCATGGGGAACAAGCAGGCTCTCTCCCTGGTAGCACCAGGGAGTGGATTAGGAACCTAATCAGGTCCTTAAACAAGCTTCGTGACCAAGGTCCTTCCATGTCTCTGAACCTCAGTTAACTAATCTGGATAATGGGGATAATGGTAGATCAAATGCCTGGGTAGGGCACAGCCCAGGCCTGATGCTCAGGAGGCCCTTATTAAGCTGCAGCTGTGAGGATGCCAATGATGACAGCTCACCCGACAGCTGGAACATCAGTGCCACACAACTTGCATCCTGGCAGCTACTCCACACCAACCTGTTATTATGCTCTGAGGACAAGAGAAGGCTGAGATGGGAGCCTGGATGAGCGGCACGAGGAGGGGGTGCAGTTTATGGATGTCTGCCTAGAGGGCATCATGGCTGAGCTTTTATTTTATTATTTATTTATTTATTTATTTGAGACGGAGTCTCACTCGGTCGCCAGGCTGGAGTGCAGTGGTGCAATCTCAGCTTACTGCAACCTCCACCTCTCGGGTTCAAGCTATTCTCCTGCCTCAGCCTCCCAAGGAGCTGAGACTACAGACGCATGCCATCACACCCAGCTAATTTTGTATTTTTAGTAAAGACGGAGTTCCAGCATGTTAGCCAGGATAGTCTCAATCTCCTGACCTCAGGTGATCCACCCCCCCTCGGCTTCCCAGAGTGCTAGGATTACAGGCATGAGCCACCACGCCTGGCCTATTTATTTATTTATTTATTTGAGACATAGTCACCCTCTGTCTCCCAGGCTGGAGTGCAGTGGCACGATTTTGACTCACTGCAACTTCTGCCTCCCAGGTTCAAGTGATTCTCCTGCCTCAGTCTCCCAAATAGCTGGAACTACAGGCGTATGCAACCACACCTGGCTAATTTTTTGTAGTTTTAGTAGACAAGAGGTTTCACCATGTTGGCCAGGCCTGACTTCAGGTGATCTACCTGCCTCGGCCTCCCAAAGTGTTGGGATTACAGGCATGAGCCACTGTACCCAGCCAGCTTTTATTAGTTTTAAGCTTTTTTCCCCCTAACTACAATATTGAAGCTTATTGTAAAACCAGGCTTTACACAGTATTTGAAAACCTCTGGTCATCCTCCCACCTAGAGATAACCACTGTAGATTAGGGTTTATTCTCTGGTTTTCTTTTTCATATATATACATATTCATTTTGTTTTTATAGAACTGGGATTATACTAAGTATCACTAATGCCAGGCCAACAGCCTGGGCATCACATGAAGTTGGTCAGAAAAGAAGAATCTCTTCTGAAGGCCACTTCAAGTAAACAAAAAAGAAAAAAGGAAAAGAAAAATCTCAGGGCCGGGAGAGGTGGCCCATGCCTGTAATCCCAGCACTTTGGGAGGCTGATTTGGGTAGATCACTTGAGGTCAACTCTTCGAGACCAGCCTGGCCAACATGGTGAAACCCCGTCTATACTAAAAATACAAACATTAGGCTGGGCATGATGGCTCAATCCCAGCACTTTGGGAGGTTAAGGTGGGTGGATCACCTGAGGTCGGGAGTTCGAGACCAGCCTGGCCAACATGGTGAAACTCCATCTCTACTAAAAATACAAAAATTAGCCAGGTGTCGTGGTGCACATCTGTAATCCCAGCTACTTAGGAGGCTGAGGCACAAGAATCGCTTGAACCTGGGAGGCAGAGGTTGCAGTGAGTTGAGATTGTGCCACTGTACTCCAGCCAGGGTGACAGAACAAGACTCTGTCTCAAAAAAAAAAAAAAAAATACACACACACACACACACACACACACATTAGCCAGGCATGGTGGCACACGCCTGTAATCCCAGCTACTTGGGTAGCTGAGGCAGGAGAATCCCTTGAACCCAGGGGCAGAGGCTTCAGTGAGCTGAGATGGCACCCCTGCACTCCAGCCTGGGCAATAAAGACTCTTTCAAAACAAAATATTTTAATAAAAATAAATGAAGACTCTCAGGCCCCACACCAAGACCTGCTAGATCACAAGCTGCATTTAACAAGAACCAAAAACTATAGTACATTTCTGTGTATATCAAAGTTGCAAAAGCTCTGATATATAATACCTGCAACCTGCTTTTTTAGTATGTCTTAAATTTCTTTCTTCTTCTTCTTCTTTTTTTTTTTTGAGGTGGAGTCTCACTCTGTTGCCAGGCTGGAGTGCAGTGTTGCGATCTCAGCTCACTGCAACCTTTGCCCCCTGGATTCAAGTAATTCTCCTACCTCGGCCTCCCGAGTAGCTGGGACTACAGGCGCATGCCACCACGCCCAGCTAATTTTTTGTATTTTTAGTAGAAATGGGGTTTCACCATGTTGGCCAGGATGATCTTGGTCTCTTGACTTTGTGATCCATCTGACTCAGCCTCCCAAAGTGCTGGGATTACAGGCATAAGCCACAGTGCCTGGGCTTAAATTTCCTTCAGTGTAAGTAAGAGCAGACAGATCAGTCACCTTTCTATTTCATGGCTGCATACTTTTCCACTACTGGGAATTGGCCTGGTTTTGTTCCCAGGTCTGCTAAAAACAGTGGTGTTGGACTTGAAGTATGGATGAACAGAATGCCACTGGTGGTGGATGTGGAGAAGGTATGATACTGTGGGCAGAGAAACAGCCCAAGCAAAGCTATGGAATCAGGAAAGAAAGGAACTTGAAATCTATCCTGGCCTCAGTTTCCCCACAAGGCTTGGTAGAACTGCTGCAGATGGTTCTCCCTGGGCATGAAGAGGCTGGAAACTTGAGGGCCACTGAATTAAATGAGGGTCTTAGAAATGGCTTTGGCCAGGCACAGTGACTCACGCCTGTAATCCCAAACTTTGGGAGGCCAAGGTGGGTGGATCACTTGAGGCCAGGAGTTCGAGACCAGCCTGGCCAACAGGGCAAAACCCTGTCTCTACTAAAAATACAGATATTATCTGGACATGGTGGCACCCTCCTGTAATCCCAGCTACTCAGGAGGCTGAGGTAGGAGAATTGCTTGAACCCGGGAGGTGAAGGTGGCGGTTGCATTCAGCCGAGATTGCACCACCTGCACTCCAGCCTGGGCGATAGAGCGAGACTTCATCTCAAACAAAACAAAACAAAAAAATAAAAACAGAATTGGCTTTGACTCTTCACTCTCTCTTGAACTCCCAAAGCTTTTTTCGTTTTTGTTTTCTTGTTCATTTTTAAAGATAACATAAATCTCACTCAGCTGCCCAGGCTGGAGTGTAGTAGCAGTCACAGT